TCTCCCTTCACCACTTTTCTGTTGTCCATCCCCCAGGGAGGAGGTTATATTTAGATCCTTGTAATTGGTTCCCCCAAATTTGTTCTTTCATCACCTAAGTAAGTCTCAGTAGATAATACCTCTGGCTGAAATGGAATAAAAGCAGAATACTATGAAGATCTGGAGGAACCTTGATGGCACTGTTAGGTAGAGGTTGGACTACTAACTACTAAGTTCAAACCCACTGATCACTTCTTGGTAGAAAGATGAAGCTCTCCTGCTCCTGTGAAAATGTGTGACATCAGAAACCTTGCAGGGGATTGCTGTGAGTCAGGATCAACTCGATGGCAGTGGGTTTTTTTTGGGAACTGTGGGATTGTTAAGATTATTAACTGATTTTGTGAATCAAAGGCTATAGATAGTTTCTTACTTAAAAGTAACAGTACTTAAAAGACACACACACTCATGATTTTGTTGATTTTTTTCTAAGACACACATACCACAGTAGAATGAATGGGATTTTTATTTTAACCTATATATGTTTGGTTACTTTGAAATATTTAAAAATGAATTTAATTAAAGGCTGTAATATAATCTCTTTAAAATCGTAACAGCACTGATTTTTAAAAAATCTGTCCTGTTTATATATAGAGTTTTCTTTATGAAAATAAAAATTTAGGGAGGAGATGAGCCAGCCAGGGTGTGATGTAACAATGATGAGAAATACAACTTTCCTCTAGTTCCTAAATGTTTCCTTCCCGCTCCCACTACCATGACTCGAATTCGACCTTGCCAGTCTGGCTAGACCAGAGGAGGTACACTGGTACAGATAGGAACTGAAAATACAGGGAATCCAGGACGGATGAGCCCTATAGGACCAGTGGTGTGAATGGCAAAACAGGGAGGGTAAAGGGAGAATGGGTAGGAAAGAGGGAACCGATTACATGGAACTGTGTGTGACCTCCTCCCTGGGGGACAGACAACCGAAAAGTGGGTGAAGGGAGACATCGGACAGGGCAAGATATGACAAAATACCCATTTATAAACTATCAAGGGCTCATGAGGGAGGGGGGAGCGGGGAGGGAGGGGAAAAATGAGGACCTAATGCCGGGGGTTTAAGTGGAGAGAAAATGTTTTGAGAAATGATGTACAAATGTGCTTTACACAATTGATGTGTGTATGGATTGGGATAACAGTTGTATGAGCCCCTAATAAAATGTTAAAAAAATAAAATAAAAATTTAAAGGAGACAGCCACACTGGCTAAAGGCTGTCCTAGGGAAGGGTAAATAGTGTACAAATAACTTGTGTTGTCATTATATGAAGTGAAAATTTTGTTTTCTTTTAATCCTGCATTGGCTTGATTTGCAACTATTCTATTTTTTACTAATGTATTTTAGATTAAATGTGAAAAACATATTTATTATAAATTACACATTTAGGACATTAGCTTGTTAGTAAGTGTTGAATTTCTATAGCTGAAGCATCTTTGTGAATTTAGAAAACTATGATCACAGGTATTAGAATTCCTAATTTGATTCTTCTTTTTACTTGGGAAGAATTATGCTAAGTAAGATGACATCAAATTCATGTTTGTTTTATCATAACAGATGACGTTTTAGTTTTATTTATTAAGTTCAAAATTAGGGAATATTTGATAGTTCCCAAGGTTGTTAACTCTTGAACAACTTTCTATTATTTTTCTCTAAAAATATTTTTACAATGTTTTTGGAATATATTTTTTAACTATTTAGATAAAAAAAAATCTAACTTTAGTAAGTATTTTTCTTATGAGGTAGTAAATATCTCCTGTTAAACTAATATTCGGATATATTTTAATTTCTTACTATAATAAGATACATGTAATGAAAAAATTGTCATCTTAACCCTTTAAAAATGTATACTTAAGTGACATTACTAATAGTTAGCATGTTATGCATCCACCTCCAATATTAATTTTTAATTTTTTTAACACACCAAGCAGAACCTCGGTATTTCCTAAGCTGTAATGCCTGTTCCTCTCTCACCTTCTCCCCTCCAACCCTCGTCCCTGAGATCCACTGTTGCAGAGGCACTTGGGAAGAGAAATGACAGTTTTCACACAAAGCCTTCTATAGCTACGGCCAAATCAAACCCACTGTAATCAAGTTGATTCAGACTCATAGGGACCATATAGGAGAGAGTAACCTTCCAGGACAGGGTTTCAAAGACTGTTAGAGATTTGTGGAAGTTTACTACCACATCGTTCACTCACAGAGCAGCTGGTGTGCACAATTGACTCTTTGGTTTGGCTAGCAGCGCAGTGCTAAATCCACTGCACTACCAGGGGTCCTTAAAAAGCATTTATACAAGTGCAGAATGGTAACGGTTCCCCCCAACGAACCCCAACCCCCCAAAAGTTTTAGCTCATTATTAAATCGGTCACTTTAAACTTAGTTCATATAATACATTTCAGTTGGCAGTCTCAGTTTAGGAGTATAATTATCAAGTGATAATAATTGGAGGTTTGGTAGTTTTAGGAGTTTGTACTTTATATGTAACTACCATGGAAAGGAACACAAATAGAGTCATGCTTGGGTTCTGATTACAATAATTCTATAACAATAATAATTCACAATAATTCTTTGGTAACAAGAGTACACCCTAATGAAACGATTAAAAAATAATAATAAAAAATAAAAACAAAATTCTATATAAGTAAAAAAAAAAAGAGTAAGCCAGATTTTGGTTAGCTACCCAACACTTCACTCACCAAGCCAACAGGGCCCCTTAGTAAATCAGATTTTGAATCAAAAATATAATTTGATAGGAGATACTAATAATTACTTCAGACATTAGCCATCCTTCTTATAAGAGAATAGCTATTTGGACTGAAACAAGAAGTTGGGGCAGTCCAGTTTTAAATTTATTATTTATTTATTTTTAATCATTTTATTGGGGGCTTGTACAACTCATCACAATCCATACATACATCCATTGTGTCAAGCACATTTGTACATTTGTTGCCATCATCATTTTCAAAACATATTCTTTCTACTTGAGCCCTTGATATCAGCTTCTCATCCCCCCCCATGAACCCCTGATAATTTATAAAAAAAGTTTTCATCTCTTTTGCATGTCTTACACATAGCTTGCAATTCAATAGTTCAGTCACATCAAAGAGAGTTGTGCAATGATTACAGCAGTCAGTTTAGAACATTTTCTTCTTGTACTCCTGGTTATTAGCAGGTTTTTAAAAAATTATGGCTAAAACATTCTCCAATTCAACCCTTACATGTATAATTCATTGCCCTTGGTTACCCTCTTCATGTTGTACAACCATTATTGATATCCTTTTCCAAATTATTTTCCAAATAAACTCAATGCCCTCTAAGTAAAACCTCTGCCTCCTTCACACATGATAATTATTGGTCAACTTTGCTTTCTTTCTTTTTAGTAGTTTTCGTGATATAAAATTCACATAACATACACTTCCATAGTTAAGTCACTTTTACAAAGAAAGAGTTAAGAAAGACAAGACCACCAACAATTTTAAAAGCCAGAGATGAAATTTCTGTTGTGAAAAAAAGAAATATTTGATCCTAGAGCAAATTCAGCTTAGGTCAAGAGGTAGGTTTACTTACCAAGTATCATAAATAAACCATGGTTCGATCCACCATAGTCAAGTTTACAGTGATCTCTGTGTAATAGTAAAGCTGTTCTAGTCTTTCTCCTGTGTCTAGAGGGGATCTGTCAGAGGCTTTATCTGACTAGATTGTCTGAGATGGATTTTGGGTTCGTGGGCTTATCCAGTTTTAAAGGGAAATATATATTTTATTTTAACATACTATGTTTGAGTTAACAGTGGGATATCAAATGAAATCTGAGAATGCAAATGTGGACATGAAGGGAAGAGCCAATGTTATCCAGCAGTTGTAAACTAACATACATTGTTGACATTCTGTGTACTGGATTTGAACTGTTAAATTAACTTTCATTTCATTCCATAGTTCACAAAGATGTCCAAAACGAATGGCTTATCCGAAGACTTGATATGGAACTGTAAAACATTGATCCAAGAGAGGGATGTAGTTATAAGGCTCATGAATAAATGTGAAGATATTTCAAATAAATTGACAAAGCAAGTTACCATGCTCACTGGAAATGGAGGTGGATGGAACATAGAACAACCCTCCATTCTAAACCAAAGGTAACATTTGTTATACAGACTTATTTATAATTTTATCTTAGTTGTGTGAAATTTCTAAGCTTATTTATGTAGTGTAACTGAGGCAAAGAATACAGAAGTGGTATGAAAACCAGAGTTTGAAGAAAAGATACTCAAGGTTTGCTATAGGGAGGGAGGGGAAAAAATGAGGAGCTGATATCAGGGTTCTAAGTGGAGAGCAAATGTTTTGAGAATGATGAGGGCAATGAATGTACAAATGTGCTTTACACAATTGATGTATGTATGGATTGTGATAAGAGTTGTATGAGCCCCTAGTAAAACGATTTTTTTTAAAAAAAGCTTTGCTATAATGGCACAAACAAGGGGCATTTCAATTATCTTTTTCACTGCTTTTATTGGGTTGGTTTGTTTGTTTTCTTTCCCCACCAGGTATTTCAAGATATATATTTATAAAACCTATATTGTTGATAAGTTATATGTAATCACAAAAACTGAACAGGTGGTTTTAACTTCCTCTTAATGTTTTGGAGTTTTAAAGCAGGTAAACTGCTTAATTACATCACTTTGCAAATTTTCTCATAATGTAGCCTCCTTTTAATAACAAGTAAAATGCGATAATCAGAATATTCTGAATCTGTTGAAATTTTTTTGAAATGTGATAGATACATATACCATTTTATTGGGGGCTCTTGAAATGTTTGTTTTGAAATTTCCTTTTGTATGAACACATTAGGGAAAGGGCAGATACTTTCATTAAATAGATTATCTATATCCAAGTATGCATATTCCCCCAAACTGTTACTTTTTGGTAAAATACCTTGCCAGGATTTTACATAAAAAAGGTAGATACTAAATTATTTTCCCTAAACCACTTGGCCAGCAGCCAGGGTATATTAAGTGGCATTTTGTAATTATGGCTACCCTTATTTGGTGTTAGAGCCTGGGTAGGGGAAAATAGTTTGAGTTTCCATTAAAATTTATTTTTATGTAGTTTTGGAACTCAGATCTAGAATATTTTCTTTTTTTAAATGGTACAAAATGTATTACTGTGATTGTGTTTAGTGGCAAACACCTGGAAACCATACTAGTTCACAAAATCCAGTTTTTTGGTACACCTATACAAAGATCTGTTGAAGGGGGTTTGATAGATACTGTAATAAGACTAGCACTAGGATATCATTAAAATTAGTTACCTTCATTGCTGATTTTATTTATTTCAGATATTTTTCTAAGTTAATGATCAGAGCATATTTGCCTGATCAAGAATTAATAATTAAAAATCAAGCTTTCTAGTAAGCAACCATCTTTTCTGTACCCTTCTAGGGTGCTATGGGATGGTGTAGGGAAACGTGATGCAGTTCCCCCAAAGAAGCTCTTTTCTCTGTGCATAGAAAGAACTGCGCCACGTCAGCACGTTCAGCTCCTAAAGTGTAGCTGGAGCAGCTGCTGTTGTTCTCCAGCATTGGATGTGGGGAGTTCTTCACTACAAGACTTACTCAGTTGAGTCTCCTTTATCATAATTTGGAGTTTTAAATCAAGTGCTTTATTGCATTAGTTAAATTTTTCTCTCCTACACCCACATTCACAATGTCTTCTGATCTGGTACTAACTGTCCTTTTTACTGGACTGAGGATTTTTTTTTTTAATGACATAATAATTAATAGAAGAGAAATAATAGTTTTATATTTTGGATTTTTTTGTGGTGTTTTTTTTTTCCCCAAAGTGCTCATCAGTTTTAGATCAAGCTTCATTCAGCTTCTAAAACGTGTATAGATCCTTTAGAGTTTATAAAAATGCACTTTTAGGGGGGTGAAATTTGTTGGTCCAGCTTTTTCAGCCAACGTAAGAATTGTATAAGCAATTTTCACTTCATGTACTGGCCAGGCTTATGGCTACTTGTTATTATTTAGACATTGGAACTAGTTTCCTTGCATTGTAAAAGGATTTTATTAGCACAGAATAAAAATTTAAGACTATTCTGACGAATATCCTATTACACTTACATTTTTCTCTTACAGAACAACTTCTTTATATCAACATTTACTCTAGCAAAGTTAACTTTCTTTTTCTTGTAATGGTATGTGCATTGAAAATTAAGAAAATTAGAAATAAAGGAAGTAGAATAAAGGAAACATGCCATAAATTTAACATGCATTAAGATTCCAGTTTTTCTGGAAAATATAAAATTTCTAGCATTCCTTAAATCTAGTAAGTTTGAAAAATACTCATTTTAAAATGTCAGAATTAGAATTGGCTAAAATGAAAGATAGTGCACCTGTTCCTTACTTAGCAAATATCTGGTTATCTGATATTTTGCATTTATGACAATGGTTTTATAAAAAAGTGTTCTGAATATTTTTCACATTACCATTGAACATTTGGCAGTAATAAACACCGAGGTATAAGATGAAAGTAATCCTGGCTGGGATGGTTAAGGTTAGGTGTCAGCTTGGCTGGTCTGTGCTTTCCAGTTATTGCAGATTGTGATACTGCAATTTGGCCTTGATAAAATGATACAGTCTTCATCCATTCTGTGATCTAATGTAATCATCCTCCATTTTCACATATTGACCTGATAACGTGGAACCTAACCATGTCCTTAGATGAGGAGTGAAGATACAGTGATGAGGGAAAAAATTATTTTTTCCTACTATAGACATAATCTCACCACTTGTGTGTTAGTTTGTCTTCCTTTGGTGCTGGTGTGTTGCTGTGATGTTGGAAGCTCTGTCAGGTATTTCAAATACCACCAGGTCACCTAAAGTGAACAGTTTCAGCGGAGCTTCCAGGCTAAGACCAGACAGCAAAGAAGGATTCAACTCCCCACTTCAGAGGAAGCAGCTACTAAGAACCTTATGCACAACTTTGAAACATTGTCAGACACTGAAGGTCTAATGAATGGAAGCAGAACCTTTTTAGAGATAGTGCCAGAGGATGGGTCCCCTCTGGTTGGAGGACACTCAGAATGTGACTGAGGAGGAACTGATTGCTTAGAGTAGAGTGGAGTGGCCCATGTCTGGACCAGGGGTCCGGGAAAGCCTGTGTGAGTGGAGGCCTTGGGATTTTCACTTCCTGATGGGATGCAGCTCCAAGTAACGAGAAACAGCTGTAAAAACCTGTTAATAACGGGAACTTGAAATGTACGGATTAGGAATCTAGGAAAATTGGAAGTTATTAAACATGAAATGGAACACATAAAGATTGATATCTAGGTATTAACTGAAATGGACTTATATTGACCATTTTGAATCAAAATCATATGGCTTTCTATACTGGAAATAACAATCGAGAAATGGCATTGCATTCATTCATTGTCAAAATGGATGTTACAAAATCCATCATGCAGTACCATTCTGTCTGTAATGGGATTATAGCTCTTTGCCCTCAAGGAAATCCAATCAATAGAACTATTATTCAAATTTATGCACCAACCAGAAAAAGCTAGTTATGAAGAAATCAAGGAATTCTACCGATGTCTTCACTGTGAAATTGAACAAACATGAGATCTAGATGCTTGGTTAATTATTGGGGATTGGAATGTAAAAGTTGGAAACAACAAGGAATGTACAGTGATTGGAAAATAATGACTTGATAGAACTGAAGCTAAAGATTTCAGAGTAGAATTTTACAAAACACAATGGCTTGTTCATAGAAAATATATTTTTCAACAACACAAAAGGCAATTATACCTGTGGACTTCTCCAGATAGAGCACACAGAAACACAGTTGACTACATCTGTGAGAATACAAGATAGAGAAACTCAATATCAGCTCCTAAAACCAGACCAGGGGCTGTGGAAGACACAATCAAATGCTCATAGTACATTGAGGATAAAACTGAAGGAAATTAACACAATTTCAGAGCCAAAATATGACCGTGAACTGAATTTTGAGAACATTTCACGAACAGATTTGATGCACTGAACGGTAATGGTAAAAGATCTGACAAGCTGTGGGAGGACATCAAGACCATCATTCCTGAAGCAAGCAAAGCATTATTAAGGAGACCGGAAAGAAAGAAAAGATGAAAGTGGATGTCAGAAGAGACTGAAACTTCTAATCGTAGAGTAGCTAAAGCAAATGGAGAAATTCTGAAGTCAAGGAACTGAATAGAAAATTTGAAAGGGTATGTCTAGAAGACAAAGCCAAATATTATAATGAAATGTGCCTTTGCACATTTACCTATAGTTAAAAAGCCCAAAGGAAGAACATGCTCAGCATATCTTTAAGCTTAAAGAATTCATCATACACTATGTATAACCTTGAGAAGAATGGGAATTCCAGGACACTTCATTGTGCTCATGAGGAACTTGTACATGGATCACAGGCAATTCAAACAGAACAAGGGCATACTACATGGTTTAAAATCAGCAAAGATGTGTGTCAGAAACCAGGAAAGATAAGCATCTCATCATAATTACTCAGTCTGTCTAGGACTCTATCTTTCTTGGATCCACAATCA